GCTCTAAGATGATTTCTTTTCTTCTGCTTGCTTCAGGTTTAATGTGCTCTACTCTTTCTTGTTTTCTAAGATGGAAGCCTAAGTTACTAATTTTATATCTCTCTTCTTTTCTAATATATGCATTTGGTGCTATAAATTTCCCTCTAAGCACTGATTTTCCTGCATCCCCCAAATTTTGATAATTTATATTTTCATTTTCATTTAGTTCTAAATATTTTTTAATTTCTTATAAGACTTCTTCTTTTACCCATGGAGTATTTAGAATTGTGTTGTTCAATTTAATGATGTGTGGAAATTTTCCAGCTATCTTTCTGTTGTTAATTTCTGATTTATTTCTGTTGTGGCCTGAGCACATACTTTGTATTCTATTTTTTGAGATTTGTTGAGTGTGCCTTATGGTCCAGAATGTGGTCTATCTTGGTGAATCTTCTGTGTGATCATAAAAAGAATGTGTATACTGATTTTGTCAGAATATTCCATAAATGTCAACTAGATTGTTTTGTTTCATTTGAATATTAATCTTGCTTGGTGTTCTCTGAATTTATTGTATCTATGGCTTGATGTCTGTCATTAATTCTGGCATGTTCTCAATCATTATTACTGCAAATATTTCTTCTGTTCCATTCTCTTCTACTTTGGTATTCCAATTATGCATGTTACATCTTTTGATATTGTCTGACAGTTTTTGGATGTCTGTTCTGTTTTTTTCATGCTTTTCTCTCTTCACATTTCAGTTTGGGAAGTTTCTATTGACCTGTCTTCAAATTAACTGATTCTTTCCTCAGCCCTGTCAAATCTATCACTGAGCCTATCAAAGATATTCTTCATTTCTGTTACTGTGTTTTTCATTTCTAGAATTTCTTTTTGATTCTTTTGTATTAAGTTTCATCCCTCTGCTGACATCACATACCTTGCATGTTGTATACTTTTTCCATTAGAGGTCTTAATATATTAATCATCATTATTTTAAATTCTGTACCTGATAATTTCAACATCTGTGTCACAGCTGAGTCTGGGTTTGATGCTTACTTGATGTCTTCAAAATATGTTTTTCCTTTCCTTTATTTCCCTTTAGCATGCCTTATGACTTGTTGAAAGTCAGACATATTGAATCAGGTAACAGGTACTGAGGCAAATAGCCCTTTAGCAAGCTAGCCCCATGGCTTAGTGGTTAAGTGCGCACTCTCTGCTACCGGCGGCCCAGGTTCAGATCCCGGGCGTGCACCGACACACCGCTTCTCCGGCCACACTGAGGCAGCGTCCCACATACAGCAACTAGAAGGATGTGCAATATGACATACAACTATCCACTGGGGCTTTGGGGAGAAAAAGGGAAAAAAAGGAGGAGGATTGGCAATAGATGTTAGCTCAGAGCCGGTGTTTCTCAGCAAAAAGAGGAGGATTGGCATGGATGTTAGCTCAGGGCTGATCTTCCTCACCAAAAAAAAAAAAAAGCATCTACATTAATCAGGCTAGGAGTCTGGCTATATTTAATGTTTGTTTTATCTATAGGTATCAGGGGCTTCAAATTCCTCTAGAGTCCTTGCTTTTGTATCCACTCTTGGCTTTGGGGCTTTTATTTGTACTGCTCCTTAGAGGAAACCTGTGTCTTGCCTATCTTTCAGCTGTACTCCAGTATTATTATCCTGGAGGCTTGTTGCTGTAGTAGTAAGGTGTGGGGGAAGGGAAGGATTCTATAATCTGATCAAGTCTCATTCTTTTAGTAAACCTGTGTCTTGCCCGTCTTCCAGCTGTATTCCAGTATTATTATCCTGGAGGCTTGTTGGTGTGGTGGTAAGGTGTGGGGAAGGGAAGGGTTCTATAATCTGATTAAGTATCAGTCTTTTAGAAGACCTGTGTCTTGAAGTTGTGGTGTTCACAAGTATTTCTGTCCCTACTCCAAGGGTATACCTTTCTTTCCCCTTGTCACCAATTCCCTTCCCTGGCTGCAGCATTCCCAATTCAATTCCTTAAAGCCCTGTTCTCTGTTCTTTTTTCCCCCTTAGGTGAGAAAGGAATGCTGGTGCTAGGGTGGAATTCTCTTCTCCCAAATGGGATACAGTATCAAAATTATTCTCTGGCAATTTTTTTATCCTGGAAACTAGGCTTTTACTAGGGAGAAGAGTCTGGGAGGGTTTAGAGGTGGCTACTCCCTCCCTTCCCTTGCCAAATCCACTAATACATCTTTCTCAGATCCTCACTGAGAGAATTTGGTGGATTCCTGGAATGAAAGCCCATATGAAGGCCCATAACTGTGGTCTCCCAGGAACTTTTTACTCTCATACTAGTAAGCACTCAGCCTCCAGCAATTCATGAAAATAACCATTTATGTGTTCCTCAGCTTATAGTAACCAAATCTCAAGAGCTCTAGTTCTTTGGACTGCCTGTCTCTCCAGATTTTGGAGTGGCAGTATGCCCCGTCTCCTTGTCCTTTGATGGGTCCAAGAAAAATTACTAATTTTCAGTTTGTTCAGCTTTGTCTTGTTATAAGACAGGGGTGATGACTTCTAAGGTCTCTACATGTTGGAGTAAAACTGGAAGTGTGCCCCCAGAGTTTTTGATTCAGCAGGTTTTGTGGGGGTGGGAAGGTCCTAGAATTTGTATTTCTAACAAATTCCTGAGTGATGCTGATACAACTGGTCTGGAAACCAAACTTCGAGAATCACTGCTGTAAAGAAGAGGTTTATTGCACATTTCTTATCACACAGAAAGCTTTTAAAAATCTTGATGCTCAGGCATCATCCCATAATAGTTAACTCAGAATTTTGGACATGTGACCTAGGCATCAGTATTTTTAATACTAATTTAGAAAACTGTTACACATTGGAATCATGTGGGAATTTTTAAATATATTTACATCCAGAAGTGTGTTAGAGCAGGCTTGCACGAGCTTGCAAGAACTGAATTATTAAACTACCAGGAATTTTATGAGCTAATTTTTAAACAGTCATTATTCAAAATTAAATTATATAAACTTACAATTAAATAAATTGTAGTAAATACAAAGATAATTACTCAAGACTCATCATTTCCTAAGTGTCATTAAATTTTACTATTATCTAAATTCTTGTAGTTATTTATAGCTATTGTATCTGTATGTTGAAAATACTAAATAATAATGTGCTACTAAGTATCTCTTCCCAACTTCCCATTCAGAAATTCCATGTTGGTAGCTTGAAATCTGCTGTGGTGAAAATATTTATACCATGGAAATTGGCAAATGCTATAAATCAGGGCTCCCCCTACCTCAGAGCAGGTGGTTTTATACTTACTATCATACCACTACTTACGCCTAACCCCCATTGGGATTAGGAATATTCCAATTCAATTGGCCTGGAATGAGACTTGAGTATGGCATTTTTAGGAGGTATACCAGATGATGTTAATGTGCATTCAAGATTGAGAAACACTGCTGCAGTCTGAAAGAGCAGCCAGGGGGTAGAAGTAGAATTGTCGAGGTGGGATTCACTTTAGAGGCTGACTTCGTTCGCAGTTAGAATTCACCGGCACCTGGCCAAGATGATATAAACATCTGTATTACCCTTCAAGGATTCTGGAGGTGAAGTTGTTTGAAGCTGTTTTACTCCTGTTTGTTTGTCTGTTTTTGATGTAGACAAGTAGAGAAAGGCCTCAAGGCAAATCATTACATAAATATTTTAGTGTTTATCTCAAGAGCAGTGCAAATCCATCCAAGAGTTTTTAAGCAGGGGAGAATGTGATTAGACCGTGTCTTTCAAAAGATTGTTCTGGATACAGTTTGGAACAAATTGAGGGTAGAGAGCTGGGGGAGGTTATGACAATAATCCAATCCTCTTTGTCTCCCTCTGAGAGGTTGAGTTTCTCTCCTGCAACAGACATTGCTGATTGCCTGAGTGTTCAGTGCTAAGCTTTCTCCTCTCCCTTGCCTCTTTCCATTAATAGCGGCTGGGAAATCAAGTATTTACCTTTCCTAGCCTCTCTTGAAGCTATTGATGACACGGTTCTGGCCAATGAGATAAAAGCAGAAATATACAGGGGAAGGAAGGCTTCTGGGAAAGCTTTACTGTCCTGATAAATGAGGGAGATGTGATTGGTTCTTTTCCCCTTTTTTCCTCCTTTTCTGCCTTTTCTCCTTCTTTCTGCCTTTAATGTGGAGCTGGGGCAGCTATTTTGAGACCACGAGACAAGAAGCAAGAAGAAATGGCTTAAGGAAAGAGAATAGCAGAGCTGCCAAACCAGAGTCTGACATAATTAAGCTACAAAACCTAAGCCAAAAGTTGTCTTTATTTGTTTAAGCTAATGGTAGTTGGGTATTCTGTTACTTGTTAGAAGCATTTCTGTTACACCAAAAAGGAGAGTCCATCAAGCACTTTTCCAACCTTACCAATATTTTCACTAATCCTTCATCATCTTAGAGGGAGGACATCCTTACTGCACTCCAAAGCAAATGGCCCTCAAGGACGTGCCCATTTCTTCCTGCACTTTTGATCAACCAGTATTTCCTCATTCTTTGATCTTCACTTTCATAATCCTTTGCATTACCTCACATTTTATTCTCTGTCTGGAATGGGCCTCTCCTATTTGTTCTCCTGACAAATTATTAATCATCTTTAAAAACCCAATTCAAAAGTCAATAATGTTCTCTGTGAATGTTCTCTTTTTTTTCACCTCCAAGGAGTTAATCTGTCCTTTCTAAGTGCTCCCATCACATTCTGCATATGTCTTGTTATGGCATTGACACAACATATCAGAATTATTTGTCTCCCAAGTTAGAGGCTGAGCTCTTTTAAAACAGGGTCTGTGATTCCTGAGGCTGGTGGTCACTGAGGCAAGAGAGTCACCTTGAGAACCTTAACAAATATACGGATACCACCCTGGTCATTCTCATGCAGCTACTGCACAGGCCAGCATGTGGGAATCATTACCATAGTTCTTGCATCTCCAGTACCTGAAAAATAACGAACATATTTGCTGACGGAATAATGGACTGTTATTGAAAGGAATGATTGTATTTTCATTACCTGTAAAACTAGCCAATTTTTCTCGTTTGTAGGATGGTTCTTCTAGGTCTTCTGCTATTGATTCATTAGTCGATACACTTGATTTAGAAACTGTACTGCTTCCTAAAACTGACCTTTAATAATGAATAACAACATTATTCATTTATTTAGATTCCTCATGGGCAATTAAATATATAAATGAAAACATTATCAGATTGAGAAATCAAATATACTATAATCATATAAGCAAAATTGATAAAAATAAATTAGTTCTTTAAACATGAGTTGATTTTTAATGTTAAGTAAAAAGTCATTTAAAATATATTTTAGAAATAAGACATGTCAAAACTATGCCTAAAGTCCTTCAATAGATTCCCAATATATTTAGGATAAAAATCCATAATACAGCCTACCTACTGAGATTCTCCATCTTCATTATCACTCTTCCCTTCCCTTTTTTTTTTTTTTTTAATAATTTCCTCAATCTTGTGGAGTTCTCTTACTCTTCAGGGCCTCAGCCTGAAACACTCTTCCGTTCATTTTTCACTAGGTTTCTTCTCATCATCACTCAAATCTCATCTTAAAAATGTGGTTTATTCAATTTGATAAATGTCCTTTCAAGATTTAATTAAAAGAAAATCTATGTACTTGGGGGGAAATCAATACAGTGAAGAATCCAAAAACAATTTCCCTAAACATATGAACTTAACATTATGATATTACATACTTATTTTCCTCTTTCTATTTAGAGTCCCAACTGCCCTCCAATGGGGTGGGTCCAGTTTACTGAAATACCCTTTGTTTTGCGGAGCATTCCCATGGCTTCTGTATGCAAATTTGGAGGCAGATTCTAAAGCAGCATATTTTTTCCTAAAATCTCATGTTTGGTTAGCATCTAGAACTTTTAATTTGTCAAATTGAAAGTTACACACTCAAATATTTCCCTCTAATCTTTAGATTGTTTTAGGACATACTGTTTTATTATTGCAAAGACTCTGAACTTGACTATAAGCATTAATATCAATTATATATAATTATCTACATAATAAATGCATAACATTTCATTTACCAAAAAAAATTATGAAACAGAGAGAAATCAAACCCTAGGAGAACAGGGATTTGCATGAAAGAATAGGGGAAAAAAAGGAAAGCCACTTCTTCCCATAAACTGCAGCACAAAAGAAAGTGAAGAAATATGTCTATGAGTATGTGATGCTAGCCCCCATCTTTTGGTTCCTCACGAAATCTTGAGTAAAATCTATATATTTTTTCACAAACAGTTTGGTGTGAATGTAGGAGAACTTCTTAAGACATGCAAAGTTCTACATGTAATTAAAACATGAGAAGAACATAGACAGGGCACACTAGCATGACAGAGTGGAGCTGGAAGACTGGAGACAACTGATATCTAAGTTACATATATGCAACTGAAATGGAAAGAATACATATGATGTAAAAAAGAACTATAGGGCCGGCCCCGTGGCTTAGCGGTTAAGTGGGCGCGCTCCGCTACTGGCGGCCTGGGTTCGGATCCAGGGCACGCACTGACGCACCGCTTCTCCAGCCATGCTGAGGCCACGTCCCACATACAGTAACTAGAAGGATGTGCAGCTATGACATACAACTATCTACTGGGGCTTTGGGGAAAAAAAAGGAGGAGGATTGGCAATAGATGTTAGCTCAGAGCCGGTTTTCCTCAGCAAAAAGAGGAAGATTAGCATGGATGTTAGCTCAGGGCTGATCTTCCTCACAAAAAAAAAAAAAAGAAATATGGAATAGCATACTCTACCTTGTAAACTGTCCTAACATACTAGGATTTAGTGTGTTCTGATAAAGGCTGTAGGAAGATATATAATCTGATGCAAGGGATCCTTCTTGTGATGTCAATAGTTTATTTGGCTTTGCTGTACCAATATGTGGATCTGGACGGTAGAGAGGTCGGGGAGTAACATCAACTCCATGTGCATCAATCACCTGTGGAAAATGGTTATTTAAAATAAAATAAGTAAAAAAGATTGGGTTTCTGAATAATAGGTCCTAGAAAATAGAAGTAAAAGTAGTCGGAAAAAAGATAAGTATAATGTTTCTAGGATAAACATGAAAAATTAAATGATAAAGGATATTATGCTTAAAAAGTTTTTTAACTAGGCATACATTTTTTAAAAAGTCTTATTTATGTTTTACCTATATACAAGTAATGTATATTAGTGTTCAGAAAATTCAGAACCATAGAAAGATAATTCATCCAGATTGTCAATATTTTGGTATATTTAATTTTTATGTATAAGCTTTAAAAAAACATTATTTTTCATTTAACATTTTAGTAATAAACATTTCCAAAATTATTACATATTTTTGGCTAATTTTTAATCTTTTCAATTATGAAATTTAACATATAGAGAAATGTAATTAAAACATAACCATATAGTTAAATAATATAAAGCAAATGTTCTTATAATCACAACTAAAGTAAAAAAATTAGAACATTGATAGCACTTCCAGAATACTATGCCCCTCCTGCATCACAGATATCACCCTGGCCTTTCCCCTTTCTGAATCACAGCCTCCTCCTCCTCCTCAGTGGTAATCATTAACTTGGTTTTGGTAATCATTTTCTTTCTTCTTTTTATAGTTTCATTAAGTATGCATTCCCAAACAATAGCATTTACTTTTTATAAGTTGTATTGAAGTAAAATACACATACAGAAAAGTGTACATATAAATGTACAGCTTAATCAGTTTTCAAAACTGAACACATCCATGTACCCAGCACTCAGATTTAGAAGCAGAAAATTACCAGCATCCCAGAAGTTCCTTTCATGAGAGTCACTACCTCCCACCGAAGTTATCCTGACACCATGGATTAGTTTTGCCTGTTTTCAAACTTTATTTAGATGAAATCATACAGTATGTACTCTTTGGTATCTGTTCTTTTGTTCAATATTATATTTGTGAGATTAATTCGTATTGTTAAGTATAGTTGTAGATGGTTCATTTTCATTGTTGTACAATATTCCATTGTGTGAATATGTCACAATTTTATTTATCTATTCTATTGTTCATGGACATTTCTGTAGTTTCCAATTTTGGGGCTACTACAAATGGTGCTGGTGTGCATATTGTTGTACGTGTGTTTTGCTGAATAGGCTGTATGAATCTATGTCGGGTATATACCTAAGAGTGGAATTTCTGGGTAATGGATTATGTATATGTTCACTTTTAATAGATATAGCTAAAAAGTTTTCCCAAGTGGTTCCCACCAACAATGTATGAGAGTTCTGGTCACTCCCGATTTTTGCCAGCACTTGGTGTTTATCATGTTTATCAATGTAATTTAGTTTTGCCTGTTTTAAAATTAATATAAATAGTCATATATTATGACTGACACATCTGACATTTTATTCAATGATATGTTTTTATGTTTCTCCGTATTGTTGCATGTACAGTAGTTCATTCATTTATTGATGATTGTAAGGTAGTCTGTTGGATTAGTATACCATATTTTATTTACCCATTTTACTTTTAATAGACATTGAGTTGTTTCCAGTTTTTGGCCATCATGAAAATCATTTCAGTAAACATTTATATACAAGTATATACTAGTATACATGAGAATGCATTTCTCTAGGGGACATATAGATGTGAAATTGATGGGTCAACTTGGTTAGATAACCCCAAACTATTCTCCAAATTGGTTGTAACAATTTTCATGATTACCAGCATTGTGTGACAGAGCTTACTCCACATTCTCATCAACAACTTGCACAATCAGATTTATAAATTCAAGCTAGTCTGGTATGGGTATACAGATATTTCGTTTTGATTTTAATTTTCATAAAGTTGAACTTCTTTTTACATATTTATTCCCATTTTAATTTCCTTTTTGGGAGGAGAATGCCCCATTCAAGTCCTTTGCACACTTTTCTATTGTGTTCTCTTTTTTTATTGGTAATGGAGTTCATTAAATATTCTGAATATGAATCCTTTGGTTTTATGTGTTACAAATGTCTTCTTCCACTCTGTGGCTTCATTTTCTTTGTGGTATCTTTTAATGAATAGAAGTTCTCAGTCTTAATGTAGTCAAATTTATCATGGTTTCCTTCATGGTTTATTCTTTAAATGTCTCATTCAAGAAACCATTCTCAATCCTGAAGTTATGAAGATATTTTTCAATCTGTTGCTTTTCATGTTTGCCTGGGATTGAGTTCTGTGTATAGTATAGGGAAGGAAGCCAATATATCTTTATTCCATACGCATACCCAATTGTCTCAACAAGAATTTTTGAAAATCCTGTCATTTCCACATTATTCTGTAGTGCACATTTATTATAAGACAAGTGTTTATATGTGCTCAAGTCACTTGTAGGCTCTCTGTCTATCCCTTTGATAATGTTACACTTTTTATTAAACTTGGTGTCTAGGAAAGCAACTCCTTCCACCAAGTTCTCATTCAAAAGTATCTTGGCTATTCTTAGGCTTTAGTAGTTTCATACAAATTTTAGAGTTACCTTGACAAGTTCCTGAAAAAAATATAATGAAAAAAAAAACTTCTGAGATTTTAACTGAAATTATAAAGAATCTATAAATCAAAATTTGGACATTAGTGTTATGCTTATAAATATTGACTCTTTTTATGCATAAACATAGTCTATTTCTCCATTTGTTTGGCTCTTCTTTAATGTCTCCCAATAAAATTTTATAGTTTTTAAAATATAGGTATGTGCCTCTTTTGTTATATTTATCCATAAGTGTTTAACCCATTTTAGTGCTATTATAAATGGTATCATTTAAAAATATGTTGGGGCCGGCCCGGTGGCGCGAGCGGTTAAGTGCATGCACTCCACTGCGGCAGCCCGCGGTTCGCCGGTTCAGATCCCGGGCGCACACTAATGCACCACTTGTCAGGCCATGCTGTGGTGGCGTCCCTTATAAAGTAGGAAAGATGGGCACGGATGTTAGCCCAGGGCCAATCTTCCTCAGCAAAAAAGAGGAGGATTGGCGTCAGATGTTAGCTCAGGGCTGATCTTCCTCACAAAAGAAAAAAAATATGTAATTTTTAACCATTTGTTGCTGGTATATAAATATACAACTGCTTTTTTTTATTTGATATCCAATAACTTTGCTAAGCTCTATTATTAATTTGAATAATTATCAGTAGGTGATTTTTAATTTTATATGTGGACAATTGTGTCATCTACAAATATTCAACGTTTTGTTTGTTTCTTTGCAATTCTTACACTTTTCATTTCTTTTCCTTGCCATACTGAACTGGCTAAGTCTTCCAAGAATGTTGGGTAGAAGTGGATCCTTCTTAGAACTGTTCACTATAAACATAATCATTGCTATAGGATTTTATAGATACCCTAAATCAGATTAAAGAAGTTACTTGTGGGCCGGACCGGTGGCGCAAGCGGTTAGGTGAGCACGCTCCGCTGCGGTGGCCCGGGGTTCGCTGGTTCGGATCCCGGGCGTGCACCGACGCACTGCTTGGCAAGCCATGCTGTGGCGGCGTCCCATATAAAGT